TAGATTCGCCGATCCTGACTTCTTTAGTTCCACTTATGCTAACAAATTCAAAGATCCAACATACATTGCCTCCCCATACGGCAGCTGGCTGTCCATCCCGTCTTCTTCTTCCTTCTCATCGTGGTTCCACTCAGATTTTGCTCGTAACAAGGAATTTAACGGTAAATATTATAATTTCTTCATCACGGATCTACAGCTAGTCTCCTCTCGTAGCCATTAGGAGGTTCGCTCCCAGGTCACACTCCCTTAACGGCGTTAGTGGGAGTGACCTGGGAACGAACCTCTTAACGGCTGCGAGAGGAAACTAATCTACAACGTGTATCTTACAGTCACAATTGCAATTCTCAATTTAAGTGTATCGTTTTTAAAACTGTACAAGCTATGTATGTTATGCAGGGTCGGATCTAGGACTTTATTGCAGGGGGATGTAGAGCATTCAATGCACTCAATAAAAATAATCCCAAAGAAGCTCCAAATGAGGGATGGTTTTAAAGGCGCAGTCTTAGAACCCCCCTGCTCGCCTTAGTCTCTTGTTATCTGCACTTGCAAATGGCAGATTGAAATCGGAAACTACTGAAATTATCTATTTATTACTCAGTTGATGTGTTGTAATCTATATTCATGGTTATATCATAGATATTATCGAATTAAAGAAAACTGGTGAGTCTGACTCCAATGGTGCAGCCATATATCGATACTATGAGTCCAAGTTCTTTCCAGTGGACGGAAAGGGGTTCGGGGCCCAAGGACAAAGGGACTGTTCTACGAACGCCTTACGGAATTATGGGTAAGTATACTGCTCTCATGGTTTCTCTACCTTCTTCTTGAAGCATAGCAATTCTCGTACTCAAATCTTGTTCAAGGCCGTGGAAAACCTTGGGATTTCGAGCCACATGGCAATTATGTATTAAATTGAGAAATTAATAAAGCTGTGTGCAAAAATGAAAGCTAGAGAGCTGGTAACTATTATTTACCAAAGCTATGGACGAAGGAGGATCTCGGAACCTTAATTAAGAGTGCCCGTTCTATAATTTCACAGATTTACAGCAACTGTCAAGGGTACGTTTACATTCACTGGAAAGGAGGAGTTTGCGTTTGCTGGAGGAGAAGAACTGTGGGTTTTTATCAACAGAAAACGCGTGGTACAGCTTTTCCATAGCCCTTCTGTGTCAGCAACACCATGCAGGCTGTTTTCATTGAAGGCTGCCGCAACCAAAGGTTGGTATTTCCTCCCTCCCTCCCTCCCTCCCTCCCTCCCTCTCTTCCTCCCTCTCTTTTACACACTCACTCACTCATCACTCCCTTCCTCACTCCCTACTTCCTT